CATCAGGGTTGTGTTTGACCTTAGGGGGCTGCAGTGCGCATGGCCAGGGTGGGCATGGCCAGCTCAACATCACTTGTGTCAGGGGCGCCAGTGGTAGCCCAAGCTCTCTGCCGGGGAAAACGGGCTCCCAGCTCCGTTTTCGGCTGCATCGGCCTCCTGCAACCCTCTGCCAGCGGAAATAGGGCTCGTGAGGGCTGCCGGCAACCCTCCTGAGCTTACTTTTTGCTGGCAGAGACACTGCAGGCCGGTCCTTCGCTGTTTTCAGGGCAGCCCTGTGGGCCAGATCTAAGCACACTGCAGGCCGGATCTGTCCCCCAGGCCTTGAGTCGACACCAGTGGTGGGATTCAAAAATTTTACTACTGGTTGTGTGGGCGTGGCATGGCTTGGTGGGCGTGGCAGGGGAAGGATATTGCAAAATCCCCATTCCCTCACCACCCCACCAACCTGCTTTCCAGCTCTGTTTTCCTGTGCAGGACAACAGAAGAAGATCCAGCCGATCAGCTGTGAGAGGCAGAAAATAGATGGGGCAGGGCCAGCCACAGGTGGTATTTGCCGGTTCTCTGAACTACTCAAAATTTCCACTACCAGTTTGCCAGAACTGGTCAGAACCGGCTGAATACCACCTCTGGTTGACACCTGTGTCAAAGAGCAATCAGCACCAACAACTAAGCAGCTCAGATCCTGTTCCGAATCGGACAACTTACGTCTAATTCTCAGAAGGGGCTGAAATTTTTCCCTATGATTCTAGGCGAGGGAGGAAGGGAGGGATCCCCCACACAGCAAGTACAGGTAGTCCTCGATTTACAAACACAATTGAGCTCCAGATTTCCATTGTTAAGTGAGAAATGGATTTTTACCCCATTTTACAATCTTTCTTGACACAGTTAAGCAAATCACTGCAGCTGTTAAATTAATAATATAGTTGTTAAATGAATTCCCCATTGAGTTTGTTCGTTAGAAAGTCAACAAAGGGGATCACATGACCCCAGGATACTGCACAACACCATCATAAATATAAATCAGTTGCCAAGCATCTGAATTTTGATGATGTAATCAAGGGGAAGCTGCAATGGT